ACAAAAGAAGCAGAAGATAAATATAAGAAGTATAAAAATAAATTAGTCGGGATTATAAGAAAACATAAGAAAGAATATTATAGTGATTTATTGAATAAAAGTAAAGGAGACATCAAGGCAACATGGCGGGTAGTGAATAATGTTTTACAAAAAAAATAAGAAAAACAGGCATTTCACAAAACTTTACAATAGACAACAAGAATGTATGTGATGAAAATGTAATTGCTAATGGATTTAATCAATACTTTGTGAACGTTGGATCCAGCCTTGCTGCAACGATACCTAAAGTGGATAACAATGTGAACTATTTAATTGATGATTATCTTGCAAGTATGTTCCTGACTGGAACTGACAAATATGATATAATGACTGTAGTCAATAAATTTGTAGACAAAAGATCAAAGGATTGGATGGATATGGACATGATGTTTGTAAAACACATATTGGGTCATGTAATCGAACCATTTACATATGTATGTAATTTATCTTTTACTAAGGGAGTATTTCCTGATAGAATGAAGGTGGCTAAAGTGGTTCCTCTTTTTAAAGGTGGTGACAAATGTGTGTTTAATAACTATCGACCGATATCGTTGTTACCACAGTTTTCTAAGATCTTGGAGAAATTATTTAGTAACAGACTAGACCAATTTATTGAAAGGCAAAATATTCTAACTAATAGCCAATATGGTTTTAGAGAAAAAAATTCCACATCCATGGCGCTAGTAGACTTTATGGAACAAGTAACAACTGCTGTGGACCGAAAACAGTATTGTGTGAGTGTGTTTGTGGACTTAAAAAAGGCATTTGATACTGTCGATCATAACATTCTTTTTGAAAAATTATACAAATACGGTATCAGAGGATTGGCTCTGCAGTGGGTGTGCAGTTACTTAAAAAACAGGAACCAATTTGTGCAGATAAATGATGTGAGATCGGATTACTGCTCCATTACATGTGGAGTTCCTCAAGGATCTGTAATTGGTCCAAAGTTGTTCATCTTGTATGTGAATGATTTGGTTAAGGTGTCCAGCCTCCTTAAATGCGTTCTTTTTGCGGATGACACAACTTTTTTTTGTTCTGGTAAGAATATTGAACAGTTATTGGAATTAATGATGATTGAGTTTTGTAAAATTCAAAGTTGGTTTAGACTAAACAAAGTATCGTTAAATTTGGATAAGACTAACTATATGATATTTAGCAATAAAAATAAAAATATTGATGTTTCATTCAAGATTGAAGATTCTGAAATCTGTAGAGTATATGAGGTGAAGTTTTTGGGTGTCATCATTGATGATAAATTATCATGGAAGCAACATATAAATTCTGTTAAAATGAAAATATTAAAATCTATCGCAATATTTTATAGAGTTAAGTATCTACTGAATGACAAAGCATTGTATTTGATGTACAATACAATTGTTGTGCCACATTTGATTTATTGTGTTAATGTTTGGGGAAAAGCATGTAAATCAATTACAAAGTCTATTTTTATTTTGCAGAAAAGAGTTGTAAGAATTATCAAGGGTAAACATTATTATCATCCATCGAGTATATTATTTTGTCAAATGAAGTTGTTGAAGTTCCCTGATTTGGTGGATTATACCATTTTGTCATTCATGTATAGAGCTCATAATAATACATTGCCTTCTAATATCCAAATGCATTGTGTAAAAAGAGCTAGTAATTATAATCTTAAGGGGAAAGATGTTTTTGTTAAACCGCAATTCAGAACCAGTTTGAAGGGAAGATCTACCCTAATTCAGGGTGTTGGACTGTGGAACGACTTGGAGTTAGATGTTAAGGAAGCTAAATCAATCTCGGTATTTAAGAAAATGGTAAAAATTCAATTGCTAAAAAAATATATATGAATGTATTTCATGAAAAATGTTGGATATTTGAAATATTACTTGAGTTATTTACTTGTTTCTGATAATTTTCTGAATATGTTTGTTTGAATGGTTTATTAGATAAATAAGGAGCAGATTCAATAAGATTTTTTCTTCATCTGCTACCTTTCATTTTATATTTATAATTGTTTTCTAATTACATAAATGTTAATTGATATGTATTTTATTTTGTTATTAAATGAATAAATAAATAAAATAAAAATAAAAAATAATTTAAAAAAAAGTTTCAGTAAAAATCCTTCCAGCTGCACAGCATCTGATACCAGAGGAAACAATCATCCAAAAAATGTGATTTACATCCAGAAAAAGAGGAATTAAAGTTTCCAAAGGCAAAATCTCAGAATGAAAGTAACAGAGCTGCTCCAACATGCAGCCACATTGAGCGGCGCAATTCTAGAACAATTCTTTGTTGTTGTTGAAACATTTTGTCTTTCATCCAAAAGACTTCATCAGTTTTGAACCACTTTGGCCATGACTGCCTTTAACGAGTTGATAGGGGGAGAGGGCAGACTCCAGAAACCACCTGAGCACCATCAAACTGGTTGACCCACTACGTGAAGGTGCTATTTAAAAGACTGAGTTTGTTGTGGCTCCTAGGACAGATGAAGTCTTTTGGATGAAAGACAAAACATTTCAACAAAAAGAAACCGTCCAGAGGACCTGACTTAACTTTGCTGGATATAAAGAACATAGTTGTTCTCAGGGGTGTGGTCTAGTGATACGTAGGAATACAGAGTATATCCACTAGAAAAGCTTAATAATTTCAGTATACCCACTTAAAAGTGCCCAGTGATACATGACATATCATTAGGCACGTGTCAATGATACGTTAAATGACAGTTAAACGCTTCTGTAACAATCTATCTGTACGCAGCGCTTGTTTATTACATTCGCTTATCCAGCAAATTATTGTATAATTCTATACTTACTACTTAATACTTGAACATGTTTTGCTTTGATACAGTTTTATACATTCTATAATATGCTTTTAATACAAAGCCAACTGTCGCACAAAGTTTGTTGTTCATTTATTCAAACATAAGCATCAGAGAAATTTGGAAATGTTCAATACGCTTAAAAATTAAAATAAATTGACAATTACATTGTACTAACCAGTGTACTTTGGTTTCTAAGCACAGTATACAGCCTATCGTAGTAAAGTTAGTTTTACGTTGGACGTTGGACATTCACGCTCCGTGGCTTTGTGTCCAACGTCCAACGTAAAACTAACTTTAGCACTGTTTGTTCTGTGAGGATTACTACTTTCTGTTGTGACGTGTGCTGATGACCACTTGACCAGGTCACCCTTGTGAAAGAGATCTCGATCTCAACTGGCTCTACCTGGTAAAATAAAGGTGATTGATTGATTGATTGATTGATTGATTGTTCACCAACCACACTTTGCTGCTTCCTGAGAGAAGGGGGCATCAGTGATCACAAGCTGTCCTTGATTCTGGCTGATCCAGTATTTAAGACCCTGCTTACCATCTTCTCGCCACTGTAACATTTTATGCCTTTCGGTGTTGTGGAAGAGACTTAGCAAGACTTACCTAGTCTATGAAAATACTAACCTTGGCTTCCTTGTGTTCTTCAGCCTCTGGTTCCCTGGTTCACCTTCCTTGAGAAGTGTCTTTGAGTCCGTTCTACCACTCTCCCACCATCTATACTCACCTGCCTCCGGTTTGCTGTCCGCTTCTGGAAACCTCCACATTCTCTCCAAGCACATGAAACACAAGACAAAGTAAGGTTATAACATCCCAAGTCATCTTCAACTCGAATACTGCTGTGGAACCAGATACTCACCTTTGCTGTTCTACTACAGATCTTTCCAGGATCTCTGTGAATCACATCACCTGTAAATAAAGCACTTACCGTTTTACCTTCCTGAGTGGAGTTGTTGGTTGGCTTATTCTGGATTAACAATAGAAATACTGTTATATTCCATCCATCCATTCATCCATTCATCCATCCATCCATCCATCCATGTTGTATTGCTTGTCTGTGGTTGGGTTGCAGAGACAACAGGTGCAGGATCTCCAGCTCCTCCTGGGGATCTCATGAGTTCCTCAACCAGAGAGGACCTATTATCTCCCTATAAAGTTCTTGTGTCTCTTCCCAGTGGTACAAAGTACATGCCCAGAAAACTTCCATTCATGATCAGATGCCCCAACAACCTCAACTGACTTATTTTGATGCAGATGAGCAACGGCTCTACTCCGAGCTCCCCCCGGATCTCTAAGACTGAGTACTCTACAGGAAGATCATTTCAGTCGTTTCTATCCAGGATCTCATTATTTTGATCATGATCCAAACCTCTTGACCACAGGTGATGGTTGGAACATAGACAGACCAGTAAATCCAGAGCTTTGTCTTTCAACTAATCTTTCCCAACCAGCCAAAGCAGCATCCTCATTCCATAGGAATGTTCTGTTGACCCACCTCCCTCTCCATCTTACCATCGCTCATGAACAAGATGCTCAGATACTTGAACTCTTCCACCCGAGGCAAAGAGGGGGCATTCCACCTGTTTCCAGTTGAGAACCATGGTCTCAGAATTAGAATTGTTTCTCATTCTAGACGCTTCACACTTTGGCCGTAAACTGTCGCTATGCATGCTGAAGGTCACAACCCAAACACGTCAACAGAACCACAACGTCAGAATAAAACAGAAATAAGACCCTGAGGTTCCCTCCTCTCCACAACTGCTCCTTTAGATCCTGTTCATGA